AACGCAGGGAACGTTTACTGAGCACCTACTATATGCCAGGCCCTGGCCAGGTAGGCAGCGGGGATCCAGTCCCACCTTCACAGACCTGCCTCCCTCCGGAGTTCAGATTTGAGCATGGAAGCCTCGCCCACCCCAGGGACTTTGCACCTGCTGTGCTGTTGGGGGTGTTCTGTCCGTGGAGCTCGCTAAGGCTGGATCCTTCACGCCCTGTCTCAGAGCGTCCTCCCCACACCCGCGTAGCCCAGTGGCCTGTTTTGTTCACTCCTAAAACCGTCTTGTTTACTTGTGTCTACGGTCTGCGCACCCACCAGATCAGCTTGAGCAGGGACTTTCAGTTCCCCACTGCTCCCCCAGCGCCTGGAGGTTCTCTGGATTGGAGTGAAGCTGACCCCACACGTGTGGCTGGACCTTCCCGCTGCCCCCTGCCCCAGAGACCCTTATTATTCACCCTAAAAGCCCCAGCTTGTTCCGTTGCACCCACTGGGACACTCTTTGCCATTTGGTCCCGCTAACAACCGCTGAGATCGTGAGTCACCAGCAGATGAGGTGGGGGCTTGGAACTGCTCTGGGATGTGCTCAAGGTCACTCACTGGCCAGGGCCAGGACAGGAACAAAGAGAATGGGGACATGAGGGTATGGTCAACAGCCAAGGGCTCACTCAGCCCCTGTCGAGTAAGCCTGCCCCCACAAAGGGCTTTCTGTGCCCGTGTCATGTGTTTGGGGACACAGAAGGGTAAGGCGACAGCATGTCACCTGGAGATGTATGCAAGGTGCTGGATGCTTGTGCGCGTGTCCTCGGGCTAGGAGCCCACAGGATACTTTTCTGCCCTTAGATGCTGAGCCTTTGTTCTCTAGACCCACATCCGGTCATCCTGGCCATTCCGAGTGGGCAGAGCCCTGGGGACAGGGGAACAAGGCCCAGCCAGGACATCTCAGACCAGTAAAACCTTCCCTACCTGGGCTGGGTGGGCAGCCGGGCCCCAGGGCTGGCCTAAGGGTGGTGGGGAGGCCTGAAGGCTACAAGGCCAAGGGAAAGAGGGGGTGAGTGGTCCTGCCCAGCTCACCATCCTCTCCAGAACCTGATTGGGTTGGGAGATTGACTCTGCCCCAGGGGACTAGGGGCCTTGGACCAGGTCCTCACCCCTTCCGGCTGTGGGCTTGACTCCCAAGACTGGGGCACCCTGGTCAGGAAGCCCTGGTAGGGAGAGGACACACTGTCTTGGGACGAGCCCTGGGGCCCTCCTGCAGGGCCTCAAGGGGCCGGTCCAGCAGGGTGCTGCCCACTCCCCCCCCTGGCGGTTCTGGCCAGAAGTGCAGCTCCAGAACCAGGATCCTGAGGACCCACGGCGGGCGGCGGTGCTGCGGCAGCTGTCTTCTCCAATCAGCCAGCGGCTTCGAGGCCATGCCCCTGGGGTTCACAACGGGCTCCAGAGTTGCCAGGCAGAGGACATGATGGGAGGGCCCTGTGCTTAGAGCTCTTCTCGGCCTCATCCACTCATGCGGGCATCATGCTAACCGAGAACCCAGAGGGACAACTTGGGCCCCCTCTAATTTACCTGGCCCTGCACCACACACATGTCATCAGTCTGTGCACTACCCCTGTTCTCAGGAGGTGCCAGAAGCCAGGGGGGACAGCCTGCTAGTTGCTAAACAGCTGGACAAGGACCACCCAAAGCTGCTCCAGCCACAGTCTCGGCCCTCAGCTGGAGTCAGGAGGCAAACAGCCCAAGGTTGTGTGGGGACCAGCACAACGGACAGGCCTGGG